TTCAGCACTTTAAAATGAATGATGCCGCGAATGCTTCACGAAACACACAAAAGCGCCTTCTTGGGGTGCAAGTCTAGCTTATTCGGCGGAAGCTATTGCCTTTTACATTTTGGATTATCATAGAGGATCCGCCTATCGTTTCCAGTAATCAAGCGATCAGAAAACACCTCTACATTATGCCGTTGAAGCAATAAATTGCATCTGAGATTCGGTTAGCTTTGTTTTCGTCGAACAAATTATTCAAGACCCATGCTCTGCTCGATTTACTAATCTGCAGTAAAAGTATTCGACAGTTCCTCGATTTCTGACATGGATTTGCTTTCACTTCTGATAAATAACTGACGAATATCGACATGCGCGGAAACGACATTACTTTCAGGTCCGCCTATTATTTGCGTTACAGTTTGCTTAAATATATTTTAAAGGTGCTAGGGGTCTGTGTTAGTACTCGGATTACATCCATTACTTTAATAAAGTTGTTACATAGTTCTCGTATGTGTTTGTTGCTTCTCCATAGCTATCGAATGAAAGTAGATGTCAAGCTTCACCTTTCTAAAGTATGTTCACCGACAAACGTACAAATTGCTTGTGGGACAAATGCAAACCAACTCAGGACCGTCCTCTCATCATACTCATATATATGCGTAGACACACTTCAGGGGATATCGAATCTATACATCATATAGATTTCTATAACCTATATATCCTGACCTTGCGGTAGGCAGGATAGCATAATTAAATAACGATCGTATACTAATGCAATCGTCAGCGCATTAAAAAAGCTAAGGATAAAGGTAATGAATAATTGCAATAACAATGTTCTTATATCGCATAGAAGACAGGAAACGAAATTACAAAAACTTGGAAATGGAAAAATCTGAGAAAATGTACAATGAGCAATTGAGACCATATCAGATGTCTTCTGACACGACAAGTAATTTTTATTTTATAACCAATATCGCGTACATATTATTACACACGTATGCATTTAATCTCAATTTAAACGATTCGTCACAATCAGCTTTGAACTAATAAGAGTGAGCCGTTCGTGGCTTTAGATTGAGAAAATATTTTGAAAGGCTTTCACTCGAACCAAGTAAACCAAAATCGTCAGAAAGCTTGAAAGCGGGAAATCTGGATGTCCAGGAGGTGTTTGTACAATCTTTTGCATTTTAATTTTTTTTTTTTTTGTTTACTTTGCTCTGCGCCCGTGATCTTTGGAGACAATTTTTTATCCGTCCCCGAAATAGAAAAGAACATCGATCCTTATTAAATTGATTTACAAGCTACTTGAAGAGTAACAAAATAAATGTTTAGAATAATTTAAAATTTCATTCCGCTTGAGATGTCAAATTCAATTGTGAATTCATTCGCATAAAAACAGGGATACTTAACGAACGTGTTAGTGTCCCTTGAAGATCGTCACTACGTAAAATGTTAAAAAATTGATCTAAACTCCTGAAAATTTTTAAAGTGATGGTAAATATTAATGAGTAAATAATATGGATGACGGATAACTGAGATTAGATGAAATTGTTAAGGTTAAGAAGATCCTAACGCAATCCCCCTCCCGCCTTGGGATCGACAATCCACGCATTGCATTGCTTTGCAGGCATTGATCCATCAGACGTGACATCGTATACTATATCCTCCTAAACTTTTTGCCGGTCTAGTGTTGATTTTCTTCCGAATTTCTAGGAAATTAATCCAAAAAAATTATTAAGTTATTGATCGAATGGAGAAAGAAAAAAGTGATTGGTGCTTCTGCCACTGCTTGTGCGATCGAAAATACTTAACATATTCTGGTTGTTTTAGATATTTTGGAGGCTATTGACTTGAGGTTATATTTTACTTTATTGCTTTCGCTATGCGATTTTTCCCATCAATCAATTTTTCATCGCAATGGATTGTGTTAAATACTTTAGGTGATAGGTTTGTCAGTGTGCCTCATTCTTAAGCTGCATTATGCCTTTTGATCAGCCCGCTTTTGCTCTTCCCTACGATCCGAAAATAAGCTTAAAAACCGACTCCTTGATGTTCTTGGTTCAATTCTGACGAGCAAACATATGCAAAATCTACGAAAAAGATCGCTTTTACCAAAATTTGATCATGGCTTGTTCCGAATTACAGATTTGGTCTGCTATATTGAACAAAATCCGAATTTTTTCAGCGAATAATTTGCAACGTACAACAGAGAGCATAGAATGTGAATAGGAATCTGTGAACTTAATTGTCTTTCAGAACACGCCCTAAATGCACAACGAATAGTTAATGAAGGACTGACAGCGTTTTATGCATTCTCATGTTATCCATCCATACATTACTCATACGTAGCGTTACTCCGATAATATTTCTGCACTACAGCGTACATAATTCAATTAAATTTTTAAATTTAAGCTGAGTTGCGTGAATTTCAGTTGATTGGTTTCCTAGAGTTAAACCATTTCACTTACGCTCTTTTTAATAAAAATTTCTTTAAGCAAAAAAAAAAAAAAAAATTTTATATATATTTTTTTTTTGTTTTGTTTTTGTTAATATTTCTTGAAATCCAAGTACGATTTTCCATGTCTGTTGCGTAGCCATATTTCGATTATTCGATTTATACTCAAATGATATTTTCGTTCGGCAAACAGAAAACGATAAGCGATAAGCGTTAATTGAATTTTCATATTACACAACCGAATTTCTAACTAATATCGAATGAATGATTAAAATATACCTTTGAAAGAGTCTGTATGCGATTTTCTATAAATCTGAATTTAATTGGAAATGAAAAAACTGAAGAGCTTTTTTGAGCCCAACAACAATTCCATTCATTTAACATCCAACCACACCTTTCGAATGTGAACAAATATCTGCATATTACAGGGCTTAAGATTCGAAAGGACATGGAAAAGCGCGTAACTCCGCCCACCGTAGAGAGATAAAAATCCAAAAATCTGTTTAAAAAAAAACTTAACGAGTGAATATTGTGCGCAGACGCTCGGCGAACGCAATAAACACGAAACCGCATAGATAATGAGAGAAGGGTAACAAAATGGGGCATCCTTTAGCAAAGATGATTAACAACAATAACAATATAATAACAACATGCGAATATGAAGCAATAAAAACAACAATAACAACAACAAAATCAAAATACCTACACTTGTACAATTGAAAAAGCTATAATGTAACCGCGTTCGGTGGTTGTTGAGTCTGATTATCTATACAGTACCCTGCTGTGAATGTATATTTGTAGACCTTCATTTGTACATATATATGTACATATGTACGTGCGTTGATTTTATGTATAAAAGCGATGCAATAAATATAATACACTATATCATCCTTCGGTAGTGGGAGGAGTAAAATTCATTGAACCGCAAATACTAACATAGAGACGACGCCATCTTTAAGCGAGCAATCACTAGCATGAAGCTCTTTTTGAAACATATATACGCACATTTAAATATTTTATATATATATATATATATATATATATATATATATCTGTTTATATGTGTGTATTACAAGTGAACAACTGAACAACAATTGTAATTGCAATCCAAATAACGGTATTTTGCGGTTAACAGTTCTAGATGCAAAAATCTTGTACAACCTTGTCGTTGTTGTTTCAAAAATATTAACATAAACAAATACAACGAATCCAATAAAACATGAGAAAAAATGTGCTACGAATGGATGTGTGTGCTAGTGATAGACAGCAGCAGCCGCAAACAACAGTAATCGGAGTAACGACTACAACAGAACAGACAACTATACAACATAGCGACACTATCACCGCCCCTCTACTGTAGATCAATTTTTTGGCAGTTGATGCGGTACAAAATACTACGGTAAGCTAAGTGAACTTCGTTCGTGTGGGATATCTATTGTTATTAAGTTTCCAGCAGAATAATAATAATAAAAAAAAAAAAAATAAATAAAAAAAAAGTGAAAACGAAATCTTGGCAGGAGATTCCAACATCAGGACATGTTTTAATCAAATTTTAAACGTTTAACGGTTCGGTCGACGAAAACGCTAAAGTGCGTGCTCAAACAAATCTATACGAAGTCCGTACGTACACTTACCCATAAATAAATCTATATATGTAAATCTGTATATGTATATGCATTTGCGAATAGAGGCAGCAGAAGCAACATCGCCGACGATGACTATTACATTAACGACCACACAAGTGGTCATATCCCGTTTTGAATATTGGTCGCAATATTTTGGTTAACGTGACATTCGAATAAGTTGGCCACCAGAGCTTGTTGCTTCGCGCCTCCTTTTTTAAACAAAAGTCATTCGCATATTATATTGAGTGTTTGGGTATGCGTGTGTGTGTGTGTGTGTGTATCTATGTGTGTATATATATATTATAAATCGACAATCGTATGTGCATTTCTTGATTTCGGTGTTCTTTTCTTCTCTCCTTTTTTTTTTTTTTGTTTTTTTTTTTTTGCTGGTTTTGTCACATATGCATGTACTCTGCCAGATTTCTTAAAGGAAAAAAAAAAGAAAGTTCAAAAGCAAAAAAAAAAAATAAATAAATAGTAAATAAATAAACAAATAAATAAAAAATAAACATATTATATAAAAACGTAACAAGCGACAAAGGCGTAGTCGACGGTAACTTCCTTTTGCGGTGAAGTCGGAAATTTTTGTGCGGAAATTATTGAAATTTTGTTTCAATTTCATTTTCATTCAACTGACAAAACATATCCATGCATACATATGCATACACCGATACGTTTGTGTGCATTCCCACCTGCATGTAAAATACAAAAGAGCGCGTCTTTAAGTAACTATAGCACGTTAATATAAACGCGCCACATACATAAGCACAAGTAAATATATGTACACATAAAATAATACGTAATTGTATTAGTTGTTGGCACCTGGTTAAAGTACAAACCAGCTATTTTTAGTGGTCATCGATAGCAAACTTTCTAACGTATCCGACTCTTAACAAAAAAAAAAAAAAAAAAAAAAAAAAAAAAAAAAAAAAAAAATAAAGAATTCTGTAAAAATAGTATTGTAATGTTGTAGCATACAATTAACGGGCAACAAGCAATAACAACAATAACAATGACAAAAAAAATTTTTTTTTTTTGATTTCTTATGAAGTGTATATGCACGTAGACGTTTACGCAATAAAAGCGTAAAGCGTTGCGACCGCGATTACCGACTTATATAAGGCAGTGTGTTTGCAAAATCAGTCAGCACATGAAAAATAATATATGAAAATGAATAGATTGACGACTATCACAAGTGACATTTTTAAGCTAAACTTCCTATTAAATCTTGGATATAATTAAACTTAATTTCATATACATACGCGTGCATGAGGTAAGTAAGCAAGCCTTGCCTTCGCAACTTATATGGACTAAAGCCATGGTCAAATGCAATCAAAAGTGTAGTCCGTCTTAGACTTTCCAAACTGCAGGCAATCCTGAGAGCGAGAGAGAGAGAGAGAGAGAGAGAGAGAGAGAGAGAGAGAGAGGGATAGAAAAAACAAAAAAAAGATACATTCATATTCTTATCGCATAAAATAAATCGCATGGGAATGGTAAAGTTCTTCTTCGTCCTATTCGCGGTCACGATAGTGAGCACACATTTCAGATCCATGTAATTTAGAGTTTGCCACTATACTGCAACTCGTCCAATTTAAACTCGATTTACGCGACTTCATTTCAAAACTTATATAACGTGTATCCATATGGTTTACGTTTTGATATCAGATGTTGGAAAAAAACCGAAATTTGCATGTCCTTGAAGTACTTCGGCGCTAAGTATACATGATATCAAGAGATATCTATGCTTAGACTTTACGATCTAGGAAATTAATTTTTAGCTCAATAACGAAGACAAAAACAATTTTGAAAAGAATCTTACTTCATGATCCCTATGCTAATACTCACTTCCTGTCGGCAATTGCAAGGAATTTGAAAAGAGATTAACAAACTGATTATCCTGAAAAGTTCTTTCAAGCCATGTGTGAATTTAGTTCAACAATTTTAACAATTTTTTTTTTTTATTGTTGACACTCCAACTAATAAGCAGTCTTTTCACTCATGTATTTTTTCACGAAATGAACAGAATAATATTTTTCACATTTAGATTTTTTTTGACTTGAAATCTTAAGTTTTCAATCTTGAGAGAGAAAGGCTAAGTTGCTTCTGCCTTCCCGCAGGGTCTACGTTTGCGACCGTAGGAGCGGGAGATTTTCTTCATTTTTTTTGTTTGCAAATTCAAATCTGATAACCTGACAATAAACAAAATATTCAATATATATATATATATATTGTACATAGACAAGGAAATCATATGAAATTCTTTTTCTAAATTCAATACGAATATCCATTTGGCCTCATAAGTTCTCGACAAAAATTTATGTTTTCCTCGAAATTCCTCCAAAGTAAGAGTTGTTGTAAGAATTGTTTGTAGCTATTGCTGAAGCAAAAATTCAAATTTAATCTACATGCAAAGCGATACTTTTCCAGCTTCTTTCCACTTCTACAAATTGAAATTTTGCCATAATAAGCTGATAGCATAACAAATTTCGAATCTTCCTTTGATCAAATATGTTTAGTGCGCAGGCATTATGGTAGTTTTTGGCAACTATACGCTAATCTGTTCTCATTTTATGATTATTGTGGCATATTTGGATTGATTAGATCCCTGCAATTAAGTTGATTATTTATCCAGGTAAAATTTTTATTATTGTACATTGGATACCGTCAACGCATATTTCTCTAGGTGAATGTGGAAGTTTTCAAAATTTTTGCAGAAAATACTACTGTAGTGAAGTATTTTTCCATTCAACATGGCCGTCTTTACGCGCACTTAACAAGTATCAAGTTGCCATCTGTTGGATAAGACTTTCTTCCCATTCATAGTTAATTGTTTTATAAACATTGATACATATATCTATATATATACATATATGTGTATGTATATATTTATAAATGTATAATCCTTGTATCTATTATCTTGCTTTTAATTGCACAGGTCACCAAGAGTCTCGAGAAGAGACAATTCCTATCAGGTATTAGTTTCTAGCTTAGTTTGAATTACTTTCACTCTCACAATCTCGAGTGGGTAACTGGCCTGACAATTAAAACATTGCATTTTTCTTCTTCTTCTTCTTCTTCTTCTTCTTAAAGAGTCCTTGTCGCTTGCCAAATAACGAACGATATTAACTATTAGGAAAGAAAATATCAAGTAATGAAATTAAAATTTTTGCAAATATGGGTCAAATGTAAAAAACTTTTTTTCTAAATCATTTCGATTAAATCTCGCTAATTGTACGTTAACGTAATTGTTCTAAGCGTTTGCACAAGTCCAGCAATTGTTACATATTAAAACGTTTTGCTTAAATATTTTTCCGTCATCTTTTAGATAAAGCACGGAGACCATTCCAGTTTCCTTGGTTCTGTGGACGTATATAACACTTAAAAGGGCTTAAAGTGGACCCACCTTTCATAAAGGACCCAAATTTTTGAGATATCTTAATGAAATTTAGTACACTGATGTGCTTCGACCCAAGGATGACTGCTGTTGAACTCTTCCTCATATGACCGTTTCTATAAAAGCTGAAATTTTTTATAGCGAAAAGGTATAATTTTTAGTGTTTCATGGTGAAAATTAAATCAACATTGCCGAATTTGGACCATGTAGGTCTATTTTTTTGGATAATCTCATGAAAAGTATGCCTTTGCGTGAAAATAATGTGTGACATTTGGTGTGTTACAACCAAGACGCGTCAATAACTGCATTTAGCGAAGTGATGTAGAATATCCGAAAGTCGACCTTGCTTGACTATAATGTTCTTACTTGTATTACTTCAAGTTAATCTAGCTGATTGTGCGTGTGTGTCTTTCATTTTTCACTTCTTCAACTATTTTCCTCTAATCGTTGACTCGATTAAGTATCAGATAAAAATCTTGGTGTTCTACTTGATGCAACGAATCATCCGAAATTAAGTCGCTGCATATTTAGAAGAAAGTACATCTCTCCTTGTGCGTGCGATGCAACAGGTATCACGCTAAAGTTATCACCTTCAGTGAGCATCGTTCTTCTCTGCTTACCCCAAGATTTTACTTATATTCCCAGATAACCTATTTTGAGACACATGACAACAATTATCCCTTTCGATGTAGTTTTGGTTCTTTATATCATATTATGAAGTGCGTAACTTATCAAAGCCTTCTTTCTCATCTTACTTAAGCCCGGCAAATAAAGTTGTTTCAAACGATACTATTTTGTGTGTTCGAGGGAGAATCATTTAAAAATCTTTTTCTTTTTTTTATTTTTTAATTTAAAAGCCAACTCACTTTTCATGGCCAGTCATAAATTTGAAAATATTCACTTTAAAATCATATAATAACTAAGTTCAACTTCTTGGAGAACCTTTAAGAGAACGAATGTGTACGATGGTAACAATGGGTCATATTGAAAAGTCTGTGCGCTTTTTTCCGCGCTTTCGAGCTTCTCTTTGTAGCCGGCTCTTTTCAAATGATCCGAAATTGTCATATGGTTGATGTTTAGTGCCTCCGCTATTTCCTGGCATCATATGTGCTGGTCGTGCTCCAGCACTTCCAAAGTTTCGCCGATTTTTTCGGCGGTTGCGAGATGCATCTTTAACATCGAAATTTCCAAAACGGAATTGAGCAAATCACTCTTGCCTCCTTCGTTTTCTCATAGCATATTCACTGTACATTTCATAAATTTAATTTTTTTTTTTTGTTTTTTTTGCAGCATCTTTTACCGTTTTCATCGTAGAAACGCATGACGTAGCGTATTTCATTGCAATATTTCATTAATTTTCAAGTCAATACAACTTTTTGCACGAGCAAAGAGTTAGGAAACTATCTGCATAAAAAATGTAAGCTGAAATGTCATCTTTTAAGCAATTGACATCGTCCCGCGGGAAAAATCGCGGAGAGAATTTTCATCATGACCCAATATTAAAAGAAAAAAAGGAAACTGTGATGAATTTGATGACAGACAAAGGATAATAATTTGTTGGCATTTGAAAATAATTGAGTAAAGAAAACTTTTGTTATTAATTAACATTTGCGACATTGCGTCTCAGCTTCACTCTGCAATGTGCTGAAAGGGTTCACGTAACGATCTATTTTAACGAGATTCTGTGTGCTTCTTATAAAATTCAATAGTCAGATATGTAATTGTGTTATTGCTTAAAAACTGTTTTGGAATGAAATGATCATCTTACCGCTTCGAACATTTTCCGATGAAAATTTCATTAGAATGTATGCAAGCTGATGCTGAGGTGCTTGCAAACGAAAATATCTAGATGATATACGAATGATGGCAGAACTTGTATGTTGATTGTATATTTGTTATTTTATATATATTTTATATATAAAAGAAAAAAAAAAAAAAATGAGAGGAGTTATAGTAATAGGAGATTATCTCGAAATGTGGGAGACGATACTAATGGAACGCTTATCTACTTTCGTTTGAATTTAGTCGATAAAGAGAAGATGATTGCGCGCCATTGTGAGATTCCCTAGAAACTGTTCCAATTGGAAGGAAAAAATAGTTCATATTTTAGGACAAAGTCAAAGCATGAAAATTGTTGATGCACTTTACTTTTACTACTTAATTGCAACGTCAAGAGCGAGAGATTTCTTTGCCTCAAGACTTCGTTGTTAAACAAAGCTATGGGAAAGGCACAAAATCCTTTAGATATAAGGAGGAGTTGAATGTGTGAGAGCTATTAAAGCTATTAATTTTGCTTTTATTCCGAGGAAAAGAACGAGAAGTTTACTTATCCCTACAGTTTCCTATTAAACGAGGGGTTTGACATTTCTGTCTGCACTCTTTAGCAGAGTTACTCTCAGTTCATTATGAAGAACATTACGTTTTTACAATTTACTTACCATTTTTATAATATATAGTAGATGTAGAGTGAAAAACTTTGTACAAATATTGAAACACGTTTCGATTATAGTTAGGGCCCAGCTGTGCTGGTGCATTCATTCATGATTATACATCGTATCGTAGAATTATTTAGGAGCTCCATAAGTAAATCAGAGCATCTTAATATCTTTGACGGCTTACGTTTAGGTTTGGATATTTCGCCACTAAACAAACAACTGAGAGCAATCAAGATAATAGGCCAGTTTACCATTTCCTTCGAATGTGATGCGATATTGAGATGTCGTTAATTTTATCAATTATTTTTCAATGCAAAATTCATTAACTGGGACCTTCGATGCAGATTCACGTCGATACATCTCTCAATCAGTAATAAACATAAAAATGAAATTGTCAACAATGGGATGATAGATAATAAATCAACTACATATTAGGTTACGAAA